CACCTTGCACCCTGCCTCCATAAGAAAGAGAAAATAGGCTAGGAATTTCATTGTAACTTTTTGTTCCCGTTTGGGTTTTGGCAGTCCTCCACGCGGTAGACCGACGGGCTCGTTCGTCCAACATGCTCATTCCAGTCAAGCATAGCGAGGCTTTGTCTCGGGTCATACGTTTCTTGTAGCGAATACATTTGTCCAGGTACATGAGCACCGAGTTGTTGAACGATTCAATGTAAAAGTGTTCTTGGACCTCACAAAATTGTGTACATAACTGTACACTGTCGATGAGTTGATGAACTTCGTCAAGATACCGAGAGCTATCGGTTCACTGACGATCAGCGTCTCGGAACGTGCCGAGCACATCACCGACGGTCACCAGAAAAATGATTAACGCAGTTTAGCAGTGTCGCCCATGGGGTGTCAGCATCACCTCCACAGGTAGCCATCGCAAAATAGACATGGTTGCATACTTGATGGCATTTGTCCGAGAGTTGCTGATGCCGCTTTTTTCCTTAATTTTTTTTTGGTCCCTAGGCTATGCTCATCATGCCCTTTTTTATTCTTTTCGCTGCATGCCAGCGTTCATTCATGTTTGTCGTATTGCCATTTCTCTCTCGGGTGATCTTCTTTACAGAGGTGTACCTGTCATGAGCGTGGTCTTTCAATTCGATTCCTCTTGAATCAAAATACTTGTACAACTTCTTTGTCCCCACGACTTTATGCTTCTGTTTGGTGGTTTTCCAACACGCAGTACCAATAATAAAGCCAAAACCTTTTTAGAGGAGACCACCTCTATCGACTCAAGGCGTAAACACGATGTGAAGCACGTAGCGCATACGTCGGAAAAGAGATACTGGCGAGTGAACCATGGCGTCTAACGTCTCCAAGCATGACGCAGGATAATGCTGCGCTTAACAAAGTCGCTTAGGTTGTATATCAGTGACTAGATAAATGACCAAGTATACAAAATTATGAATTGAAGAAAATGAATTCCTGGCTCAAATAGTGCTTATTACGTTAAAAAAAAAAAGAAAAAAAAAACAACTCGATTTTGATTGTCCATGCACCAAAATTTATGTGCACCAAAACATACGTGCACTGAGATACCCGCGCACCGAAATGTCCTACAGCGAAACGCTCTACGCTAAAAAGTGCTAGACCCATTGCGGATGGGATCCTCTGTCCGCCCTCTGTCACGTCTGCCAGTCCCCAAACCCTACTGATTCATAACCGCAGGCCTATGGAACGCGATCCTTGAGATATTGAAAAACACCGCTTATACTTTGTGGGAACCTCGTGTTCCCCGCATCCCTATCTAGGCCTAGCTCAGGGAAGCCGTGGGGCGTCGCTATGTGGGGGCGCGTCCCGGATGCGAGGGCGCAGCTGTATTCCCTTGTGGATGGCTTTCCCTCGCCCTTCTCCGGTGATTTGCCGAAGGCACAACCCTCTGGATCATGACTTGGACGCGTCCGCCTTTTCGGAAAGCCAGCCTACATCCGACCCATCCCGGGCCTGCGCGTCCATTCCCGCAGGCTATATAAGACGGCCCTAATCCAACGGGCAGGACTTTCGCTGGGGGAGGCTGTGCTCGATGGAGCCTCCCTATCTTTATCTGGTCCTCCCCCTTCTGTGATACTGTCAATAGCGGCAGCGCGGACTCCGACTGGCGATCCTGTCAAAAGAGACAGCGCCGTCATCTTTACCATTGTTGGCCCTCAAGCAAGCGTGTGGCATTGACGTGAAATAAACGCGTCTATATCCGGACTAAAGGAACCTACTGTGTTTCTAAGTGGTACCCCCAAAGGGGAAACCCACAACTTCCCGCTGTTGCCACGAATTCGCCTAAACAACGAAAGATGCCAAATGAGAGATTTAGAGCTAAATAGATACTTCAATGACTAGTTCTTTGAACAGAACAGTTATTTGTGTGCTCACAACAGCAAGAATCATTCTCCAAACCCATGCTATGGTCCTTGGAACGACTTGCTAGTCTCCTGTCCGCCGCTCGGGGCGGTGACTGCTACGGAATGACTGCGTGTGGTGGGCTGCAAGCAGTTGGCGTGCTATTGGCGGCGCGCCGACTGAAGTCCGCATTCAGGTAGGAGACTAAGCTCAAAGAAGGAAGCATTTAATATTGATCTCCGCATCACGTCGACAGACTCACCGACAAGGGGAGACATGCTCAGGAATGAGCCACGAAGTGGCAGAACTATGAGCCCCCTGACAAGTCCCAAGATCACCGAGGTTGGAGAAACTAAATGCTTGTACAGATTTCATACGAATTTACAAAGAAAGCAAACATCAAGTTCCTAGGCAGGCCTCTTTGCAGGCAGCTGTTGATGCAGCATATGTACTTGTTGGGAGCTTTCATTGAACGCTGTAGCCAACAGGGATGAACACTGGTAAAAACACGCATCGTAATTCTTATCTCTTGGGTTCCCGGTAGTCGAGGGACTGGTCCATCCTCTCAGTCTCCATGCGGTTATTCGAAGAAATCTCAGTGAAGTGCAACATACTTTCGACAGATTGTAAAGCGAGGGACACGTGCATGGTAAAACTGGGTGCCGTGCGGCGCAACACTCGGCGATGCACGCCAATGCCCGTCGCGCGACGCACATGGTGCTGGGTCACGAACACAAGGTATCTGGCGGCACTTTGCTTTAAGCAAAGTCTTATCTGTGCTGAAACATAAATTATTACATCCAAATTGGAAATAAAATGTGGAAAATATTTTACCCATGCTGTAGGTGCATGTGACCTGTAGCAAATGGGCTCTGGCTTTGGCCACAAGTTGTGGTGGAATCTCTGTGGCCTGTCTTTTTTTCGGAGGTTTATGAAAATGATTGTAGTCATCATAATTTCTTCATTTAATTGATTATTTACATTTCCAAGCATGCGGATGACTGCTTGATCGACCGTTGCAATTTCTGGTGGTGTTCCCTCAGCCTTGCGTTATTTTTTTATTTAACGTTTTGTAGGGAGCAAATGGCAGTCAAAGCACTGGGGGGCCTGGAGTAGGGGAGGGACGTGAGGGGGGGGGGGGGAAGTTGGAGGTGAGCCATCTTGGGAAAAACTGAAAGAATCGGGCTTGGCGTCCAGACTGCCGTTGCAACAGACCGATCTCACCAGGATTTGCGCGACGCCACCGCTGCCGCGGTGCATTCTGGTACCTGTAGTTCTCAGTTTCCCGGCCGCGTCAATGCGCATTCTACGCCCGGCGTTTGGAAATTTTCAAGTTAGCACGATACTTTTAGCCTGGCGTTTACTCATGGTTTTCAATTGGTGGCTTCACCTGTTGTAATCCACGGAGCTATAATAACAGCACCAGGCAAATAGGCTTCGGATATTATGTGTTCCCGAAAGAAAGAAGCATGGCAAAGAAAGGTAAACACAACCGTACAGAGCGGCAGGAAAATTAGCGTTTTACGATTTGTTTTGCGGTTTGCTTCATAATTTGTATCCACACTATCGCACGTCAGATAAAATGTGTAAGATTACAGGGCACGAGACACAGGGACCGAAGTGTTCCGTACGCTGGAATCTCTCTGAGCATTTGTTCCGTAGCGGTTTATACGTCGGTCTGTCTCAAATAAGACCTCGGCACTGCTTTGCGGAGGCCATTTTTAATACACTTTTTGCTTGATGTATTTTGGTGGTTATAACTATTATTGCGACGACATGTTTCAAGCACAGCTGTGCTTGAAAAGATCACGACAATCACTAAAAAAGAGTAGCGATTCCCGATATACATCGCTTGAAATAAAACAACTTTTTTCGGATGCAGTCTTCACTTTTTTATATATATAAGCGTGAAAACGCCACATAATTCAATTTAGAAGTGCAACACTTAGCGCCATAAATGTAACAAACGAACCTCATTCATTTTGTGGTCGCCTATTAGGCTGGTGTTACTGACCCATTCTGCATTAACAACAATCGAGATTGTAGAAAAAAGCTTTGCCTCATCGGGCGACTGTTAGCGTTTGGAGCTTGCGCAAACAAAATAGAACTGAACAAAAAACTATGCACGAAAAATCATCCCCACCTTAAGCATTCAGGTATCTGGCATGGTTGCTTTTTTCTGACAGATGCCAATTGTTATGGCGTGTCACGCATGGCCTTTCTGTAGATCACATCTTTCTGTGCAGGCTTCTCCCGCAGTTAATCTGTACCCTGTTACACAGGCTGTCAACAAGAATGAAACAACTTTTAGAAAACTATTGCTCACCGAGAAAGTCTATTTAGCTCCTCTATACTTCATTGTCAATTAAAACTTATGCCCAAGCCTATGCACTACTAAGCACAGTTTTTCACCAACACATTTCCCAGACGACGCACAGACATCCTAAGGACATCCTAGGGATGTCCAGTCTGGGTTCTTGGGAAGTCCCAGGGATGTCCCAAAGAAGGCCAAAAAACATCCCAAGTGATACAAAAAAAGACTTATCCAGGATGTCCCAAACTATGCAGTGTTGGGACTTCATTGGGATATTTATTTTGCAGGCTCTCTTTTGCTACTCGTAACAGATTTATCTGGAGGCCACCATTGCTGTCTGGCCATTTTTAAAGGCTCGATGGCAAACACATACACAAATGCTTTAGCCAAACTGTTGCTGCGCCACTAAACACTGAATTCAGTGTTTAGTGGCGCAGCAACAGTTTGGCTAAAGCGTCCCCGAGTGCTTCCTGTTGCAAAAGCTGGTTCTTTAATCGATATTGTATACAAAAAGGTAATCGACGCAGAGCAAATGCATGATTGAGCACGATACCAACTGGTACACCTGTTTTTGACCGGTTAAGTTCTCAGGGTGTCATGGCTTTTTGAAAACTGTCAAAGGAAAAATAACTGCTTGAAATTCCACCATGCAAATGTGCCAGAGGACGAGCTATTGCAGAACTTTTTCTCAATGTAACTATATATAAGGATAAGGACTTGAAAAGATGTGTACAAAAAAAACAGTTTTATTATGCCACCAGATCCTGTCTAGGCATAAAAATGGTTGCAGTGTTTAGTCGGTGCCAGGACAAAAAAATGATTACAGAATGTGTTTAATCTGTGCCAGCATCAGCTGCTGTTGGGCTCCTTGTTGCAGCCAAGGCTGTGTCCTCTCCTGCTGCTTGTTCTGTTGCATGGCGGAACCACGACATGCCGGCCTTCTCAATATCCTTCAGCGTGGCTTGCTTGATATTCTCTGCGACCGAGCCATCACAGTCGACCAGGGTGCCTGCATAAAATTAAAAAGTACTCTTGTTAGTAAGCCAGATGACTGCAGACCCAAAAATACGGGATGCCTGCTTTGTGCGCTAGCAACAAGCTGCTGTCTTAGATGGCAACAGCTGGTGGTCCTGCAGCCCACGACAACTACCACTGAGCTTGCCACCAACCACTTCCATTACTGTGCACGCTGCCACGGCGGGAGGCACCGCCTCTACTTGGCAGCCTGCTGTACAATCGATTCATGATGAACCTAAATGTGAACGAGCATGTATTAAGAATACGTGACGGACTAGCCGAAGTCAGCAATGCATCCTTGTATCACACGTAGCACAAAAAGACACCGAACAGCGAGCATCATGTGGCGTCTCATGTTCCTGCCTACCGTCCCGAAGGAAAAATCCATCAATGTAACCCTGTTTGGCAGTCAATGTTTTCTAGTGGACCGCTGACCGTGCCTGACTGTGCGTCAAGCATGTCTGATTGGCCAACAAGTTACTTTGACCGACAGTCAAACTCCAGTCAGACTCCACTTGTCGGCTTTCTGATGGTTTCCTGGTGGCAGTCGGCCGCCGCGAAATGCCATCAAGATGTCTTGGTGGCGATTCTGACTGTACATCGATTGGCTCTGACTGTACGTCAAAAAGCTTTGTTGTGCAGACAGACGTACGGTCAAAGGACGTAAAGTTCGTTCGGATACCATTATTTCGTCAAATCTATGAATACGAAAAATAAGTTATGCACAAGAAAACGATTTCGGGACGTGAGCCCATAAAACCGCTGATGTTAGAGATATGACACGCAGCCGACCGACAACCTTGATCAGAAGCCCGCCGAAACTCTAGAAATGCCGAACACGCCACTTCGCTTCGCCCTAGAGGCTTCGCCGAGCTTTCATGAACGATCGCTCTCGACTCGGTTTGTTTGCCCTCTTGCTCCAACCTGTCGATCCTGCCCGGGCTCTACAGTGTCTTATGTTTTAGTAGAATATCTACTTGACAAGACCCAGCCTGTTGTGAGTTCCGACGATGTAAGGGACTTTAGTGGTGTAGTTGAAGACGACAAGGTGTACCAGGTCTACTGCACCGGAGACGCGCGAACAAAAGGATCGTTCTACGGCGCGAAAGTACTCTACATGGCAGGTGAGTAGAACTGAAGTACGGCGAGTGATGTACGAGTGCTTTGCATAACATGCTGAAGGCTTAACTGCATTTGCAGCCGAAGCATCTCGTATAAAACGAATGGTCAAATAGAGTTTCCTAAGCGATGACATAGCATAGGGGTTAAGGTGTCCGATTTGTATGCAAGTGGTCGCGGGTTCGATCCGCGGTGATCCTGCTTTTATTTTTTCACTTTTTTTTTTCACAAACGTTTTGTTTTATCGAGGCATTTGGCAATATTTATGAGTGCGTATAGCTTTACTCTTATATGAATGCTGCCCTTGTTTATGAAATTCCCTTGGCAGTGGCACTCAGACGTCATCTGATGGACCATCAGATGACGTCTGATGGTCCATCACGTTCCACCAAGGCTGCTGACTGGCAGTCAGTGTCCCAAATTACGTATCTTGATGGAATTTTCAATAGGGGTGATAAGAAGCCGTTGTAACGCGAGTCATGCTAGTTTTTATTATTTTCGTGCGCTGCTTCACATCTGCATTTCAGAACTGTTGAATGATGATTAAGTGCACCAAGAACAAGCACAACTGATTTGCAATGTAAATAAACATGTAACTTACTGCATAAGAGCTTGCAGATATTGAGCTCAATGAACTTTTGCTTGCCTTTGGTACCGAACCAGGTGATCTGCATTGCCATTTCCCCATTTTCTCATGTGCCATCTCATAGTCATCTGAAAAAAAAAATATTGTCATGACAACGGTAAAATACTTAACACGAGGATGCAGCCTTACCAGTCCAAAACTTTACTACACATCTTGCCTGGCTCCAATCAGGTTATGGTGTGGCTCCTTCTATGACCATTCGCCGGTGCTTATCTGGGTTCTTTACTTGAGGCCAGAATGTTCTGTCATATCTGGCACTCAGCCACGACCTGTAGACAACAGCCAGGGTGTTTTTCTCATCGGGGAATACCACTACAGCAAACTTCTCACCTAAAAAAAGTAAGAATGGACAGTATGTTGATAAACAGTGCATAAATAGCACTTGGGAAAAAGGCCTACAGAGTGAAACGGTTTTTTTTTGTATGCCATATTTTTGAAAAAAAAGGGCGCGATTGAGCGGAGAATGCGACGTGGCCAATCTCCGGGAGCGGTTGAGAATGAAAGAAACCGGCCGTCCTTGCGCAGCCGGATGCCCGTCAGAAGACGGGCATCCGGCTGCGCAGGCTGGCTGACATGAAAGCACACATGATTCAGGAGCCACCTCCACTGCAGAGCACGAAGTCGAACCTCCCGGTGACAGTTCACATTCCGACATGAAAGGCGCACCGGATTTTTCGGCTAAACACGAACTTCCTTCGCCAGCTGACAGTATTACGTTCACGTCTTGCACTGTGCGGCGCACCCGCCGAAAGGCCGTCATTCTTGACAGGTCGGCCATCTTCGATAGTCGGCCGATAGTGCCACTGGCGCGAACGCACTAGTGCGACAGCGAAGCGAAATGTGAAGCAGCGTTGTCAGCCAGCATCAGTGCGCCACTTTTAAAAGAATATATTGCCCGTGGCAACACTCACTGCCACAAGCCATGCTCGCCATGAAAAATGCGGGATCCACTTCTGCGCAGTCTTCCGGTCCCGCCGACCAGCACTAGCAGGGGAACAAAGACGACGCCAAAACAGAATGTTCATCAATGACCACGTTGGTGTCGAAGCAATAACAAATAAGGTAGAGACAAAAAAAAAACAAAAAAACAATTACCTCAAAAATGCGTGCTCCAAAGCGCGAGACTTCCCGATTCCCGCTGCAAACTCACATTCAAAGCATTCAAGCAAGCACGTCTAGCATCAGCGAAAATGGCGCCAAACTGAAGCCAAAAATTGATGATGATAGCATCGCAGTTCTAAAATATAAGGTTAAAATGAATAAATATCACACAAAGCGATTTTTACTTACATATATAATGAAAGATATTGATTTACAAGCATTTACAATATTTTATTAACATTGAAAAATAAAAACGAAACTCATTTCACTGGCGCAGGTTTTCTGGGCATCTGCTGCGGGTGTTGCGAGCAAATCATGATTCGGTGTCTCAAATCGGCCGGTGTGTATCAGATTTTTTAAACTACAATTTTGCACCGTACGAAATTTGACGTTTTGGTCTCGCGGTAACCGGCGTTCAGAAGCGTCTCCTTTCTGTTCGTGTACTTGTTTCCTTTTATGCGCTGTGGTTTTAAGGAAGATGCAGAAATGTTTACATCCAAATGTTTACGCACGTGGGCAAGTGCACGCGCACCAACACCACTGACGTCCCGATCACCCATGTTCCGGGACATGTTAGGGATGATCCCTTAAGGGGGGACATGGGCCTAAATTTTAAATTTTTTTGAAAAAATTCATTTTTTAATTTTGACGTTTTTAGTTTTAGAAACTAATTATACACCTTTACACCAAATTTGATAACCATACGCCAAATAGTTAAGTTGATATAAAATATTTTTAACACATTGTGAGGCAGTAACAAAGTAAAGAAGTTCAATGTTTGAATGCATTTTTCTCAGTTCCACTTTTTGCTGCAAATTTCATACGAAGGAATCTTTTGTTCGAAGGTGAAAGTATTCTGATACCACAATCAAGATGTTTCTGAACTGAAATTTACTCAGGAATTGGGCTATCTACTTTATTTTGTTTTAGGTTGTAGTCCTCAGTGATAAAAAACTAATTTTTCAAAAACTGACAGTGGACAGATATGCATCTCATAGTTTGAGGTAATAACTCTTCCTGAAATATTTACATTTAAGTTGTTAAAACTAGATAGCCCGAGGTCCCATATCCCCCACTTTATATTCAAGCAGTCAAAATGATGCTTAATAGCTTGATTTGCATATCATAGATTTCTTAATGAAAAGTGACACATCATCTTATGCAGGTATGTAAATTTGTCCCAGAGAGCTGAAAGTTTGCACAGTATACCTACATCTGAAGCTAAATCTCCCCTGCAAATTTCATTCCGATCACTTGAGCAGTTCAAAAGTTTGACCTCTAGCCAGTGTCCCCCCTTAAAGGACGTCTCTAGGACGTCCCCTGGAGCTCCTTCTTTGGATGTGGGACGTTAGGACATTTTCGGGACGTCCCTGGGATGTTTGGTGTTGTCTGGGTTGATGCTGCTCTGCGGCGCGACACCGAGCCGATGGTCCCTCGAATGAGATGTCCAACCAGCCGGAATGCTTGACTAGTGGTGTCGTTTTTTTCCCGCGGCCGCAGTGCGACCACCACGTGAATGGCAGTGGGCTCACGTGTTCACGAACAAGACGAAGCAGACGACAACGAAACCGACGACCACAGTGCCGACGACAAAGCGATTCTAAAGCGATAAGACGACTGAAACTACTTTTCTGCGGATGCTCACAAACTAAGCCATCACAAACAACACAATGTTATGAAGGGCAGACATGCAGGAGAATCAAGCTGATACCGGGGCGTCTCAAACGATAATCTACGATGATGTACGCGCAGCCCTATGTAGCCGGGAAGCCGGAAAGGGATGACTACAATTAGCATGGCGGCGGCACCTTTTCCGGAATGCGCACGCTTGTGCATTCGCTTGGTGACATTGGTCTACTCCCTCCATCCTGGGTACTCCACATCCACAATATTGGCAGTGTGGCCAGGAGGGAAAGGGGGCACCGTCTAGGCCGCTCCAGAAGCCATGTTGCTTATGGTTCTGAAAATGAATTACATATAAAAAAGGATCTTGCACTTATCTCAGTTACCCCTTCAGTGCCGTGAACATTTACTTAAAGTAATTTCCGCTTGCATTCTGCGTTGTTAGGAGCAGTCACACTGTTTTTGTTTTAGAACACTATAGCAGAATTGCTATTTTTAAGAACAAGTCTGCAATGAGGCATGAAAAAAAAAAGACTTGAAAGGTTTACTGCATAGGAAGATAAGAATTTTGAAGCATGAGTTCACAATGTATGATAGGTGAAATATAGTTCAGCGCCTGAAAATCTCTTGAGGGGGATTAAGAAGGCATTTGGTCGGTGCTGAAATATATTACTTATTATTAGTATTATTATTAATACAATACACATACACATCTTTATTGCACAATACACGAGTACATAAATTACCCAGGCGTGCAAAAGCATGTGTGTGCTCGTGGGCGGAACACTGTTGCAATGGAAAAAAAAAAAATAGTGTTATTACTTTTACACGAAATGATGTACCAATATGCTTCCTGCCTAAAAAAATGGTTTTAAACCCTGAAAAGTTAGACAAAATCCAAGTTACACGTCGGTGGTGTTCGACTTCCGTTGTCCGCTGCAGGCGATCGACCAGACTACTCATTCTCTTCACTAGGTGCTTACTACCATTCAGCACGTTCGCAGCAGTCGGCGGCTTGTCCCAGAGAGAGTGCCCCTCGGTTCTCCGGGCTCTTTTTTTACTTGGTGGGAGCAGGGGAACTGCCCCCCAAGCTGTTGGCACACTCTGCCACGGGTGACAAAGAAGTTGCAGATCACATGGGGCTGATGGCGATTGCACACCAATCGGGGCTCCTTCAGGTTTGCCTGACCTGGTCTTGGAGTATGCTATGTTTGGAGCTCACGTCCCACCCCACTTGCAAGTTTTGTCCTCTTAGAAAAAGAAAACTAATCAGCAGTGACAGGTTGTAGTCTTGTAGTCGCCTGGGTTGTGTCCAATGACGCTGGGGTCTTTGGTTTAGAGGTTGGGCTGAAGCTTCATTTTTGAGAGAAGGCACTAAGTTAGGTTCATCTTGGAATTTCAGCGGAGTCATGTACAGGGGCTTTATTGTCACGTGTTGACTCTGCAGAATCTTGAATAGGAGCTTGATCTTCGGCTACCGGCATTGCCAGGATTGGATCAAAGTATGGTGGGTGGTGTCTCTTCATCTGGCTTAGATGAACGACTCAAGTGTCTGCTGCTTGGTTTAGGCGTTTGAACTTGGGTGCAAACTTCTCAGATTTTTGTAGGATAGGTGTTTGTTGTACCCATACGAAGTCGCCAATGGCAAACGATGCATCACGGTGGATCCTTTTGACTGCACCATGCGTGAGTGGTGGAGGTGGGTGAAAGTGATAAAAAGACTTTACTTTGGCAGATACAGTGTAGACCGCATATAACGTATGTCGCGGGAGTCGCCAAAATCTGCACTAAAATCGGTACCACGCTATAACCAAAACATCAATTTTTCAGGCCAAAATGCATGCCATCAGACAACTTACCTTTGTAAAAGAATTTATTTTATGTTAGATGAAAAATAAAGCTTAGTTTGAGGAAATTATTTCACCAGACTAGTACACTTCTCTCTCAAGTGTGTCACACATTTTGAAAGAAATGAGCGACTTTTGCCTGGCGCAGCCTTTTAACGGCGTCGCGGGTTGTGGACGGACGTTGCGAGCATTCAGTATTGCTAACGCTAATCACTTTTCTCCGGTGATGAAAACGCGTGAAAATTCGCATCCTTTATACGGTACGCGCCAGTAATACCTTCAACTTGAGCGCAGGCATGAAATGCTCCAAATAAGAAATCTAGGCGATGTTCGAAAACGCAAATGCTTAGAAAGCACTACTGTAGTCGAAGTAAACAAACACGACGACACGGGTGTTTCTGCCGTCTTGAGAGTGCCACCATGACATCGCCGCACTAGTAGGTGGATCTTCCCTTCTAGTACGTGCTGGGTTATCATAGGGACACACAACGAAAATTCACAGTCAAGGATAGCGCTTTTACGCGGAACGATGAGCTTCTACCACGCCGTCTCCGTCGACGATCAAAACCGACGCCATGTTTGCGGATAGAAGCGGCCGGCCGGCCAGGCCGGCCCGCGACCGGTATGCAACGCACGCGAACACTTCTCCTCGACCTGTGATTGGTCCACGACCATCTCTGTCTTTGCGGTTGTTTCCAACGTTTCCAACCCAGGTAAAATTTTTGCAAGTGGGACCACTTGAAGTGGTTTATCGAACAGGGACCACTTGGCAAGTGGGAGGCTAGTGGGACCACTTGAAGTGGGACCGCTTGAAGTGGGACCGCTTGAAGTGGGACTGCTTGGCAAGCGGAATCGCTTGGCAAGTGGGACCGCTTCTGGATTTTCAGTGGGTTCAGAATCGGGGTTTGGAATCTGTTTTATTAAAGCCTTTAAATCATAAATAAAAATAATGTCATAACATCCGTCACTTATGTATAATACAAAAAAATTACATGAACATACGCAGGTACTGAGAATTAACAGGCCGGGATGGTGGCTAGGGAGGGGGGCATAGCACACATTATTAAAAGTTTCATATTGTGTTGAGGTTAGCAGCTTAGTAATGCCTTGAAGCTAACTTGACACTTGCTGACTGAACATTGTATTTGCTCAAGAACATAGAATTACCAAAAGTGTGAGTAATAGCTCCAGAAGCCGCAAACTCGGCCACAGACTCCAAGTGGACCTCTCGTATTGCAACTGCAAAACATGTTAATTAAAAAAAATGCAAAAGAAACACCAGGCATGAGCAGAAATGAAGCAGGGTACTTGACCAGCAAACAAAAACAAAAAATATTCCCAGTGATAAATTGCCACAAAAAACACACTGCAACTTCTTCACACAAAATTAAAACAATACACGTTTTTTGTCACACGGGTTCCATATCTGGCATGTGGGACGAAAAAAAAATGAGGCACCTCAACCTAGAGCATGCGAGGAAATATGGATTAGGCAAAACAAAAATGTGTGAAAATCACGGATTTTTCGTGAACACCTTCCAGCGGCGTGGAGAGATATCAACACTGCTTTAACGCATACCAGAAGTGTCAACATTCAAGGCTGCACCCTTGTGGAAAGAGGTGCATACAATGATAGTGAAACCAACAAATATACACATAGTTCTACTCCAACAAGAAAAAACCAGCAGACAAAACAGGAACAATGACTGGGATAGAATATTGTTAAATTTTATGAGTTCTACATTGGCATCTCATAATTGCAAACTTATGTGATGGACATCATACAATGTAAAAGGTGTGCGAGTGGCATGAAAATGGAAAATGAAAGCTGGTAACTAAAATATAGTAGATACCTTTTTAAACATTCTAATCATTTGGCTGTCGCAGTGGGGCACCTGCAATCCTATGAAAGAAAATCTGTCAAACCTTGAATTCCTAAAAACAAATATCACCATAAGTTTTGATTCCATAAAATTCAAACTTTTAAAAATGTATTCACGACTCCAGCGAAACCATAGGGTCGGGTCAGGTAAAGGTTGGTCAGGCAAAATGGCAAACGAAAGGAAGTCGTTTTCGTCGTTCAACACGTGAACCACCGCTGCAGCGTAAA